CCAAAAATACTTCTCTTTTAATGAACCAAATTTAGGCAGGAGACCTTGCCTGCCTTGGTGGTGTTTTTATCCAGTTGGAGTTTGGTGGTTTTACTGTAGCAACTTTTTTATGCCTTGAATTCCGCCTTTAATTGTGTAATCTTTGGACTATTTTATCATTGTTCACTTCTCTTTTTCTGTCACTTTGAATTGAAGAATAAGATACAGAGTGCATAGTGGTGAGAGGCATAGAAAGTGGAAATGGGAAGAAATGGAATTTGCAGCTACTGTATGAGGTGGCAGCCGGTGTCCCCAACAAGGAGGACTTCTGTGTCTCCTCTAGACAGCCCTGCCCAAGAAAGGCTTTTATCTTTTTCAGAGCAGCCCTCCTAGGCTGGCTTATGGAGAAGCTCAGTCTTACATCTAATAAGTCAGAAAGACCTTTCTACCCCTAAAAGTACCCTTCCAAGTAACTCACTTGTTCCAGAGAATAAGTTCTGCACCAAGAGGGCAGTAAGCTAGGCCCAAAGATAATTTGAGGAAATTTCTAGATAATGCTATTTTCTTACTTCCAATTCAGAGCGATTCAGAGACTGTCACAAGACCTTTGTTTAGTATCCCCACTGCACAGTCCAAACCAAATGCAAAGCTCCAGATTAGAAGATTGAAGCTTTGATGTCAATTAAAAATGAGTGATGCTGTTTATGATCGAGTCATACATGGATCTGAAGGAGGAGTAGACCAGAATGAGGGACTTTAAAAGCTTGGTATTTAAAGATATGAGCAAACTTCATTAATGAATGAATGAATATTTCAGAGAGAGTAGTTGCTGAGCTTGAGCCTAAAATTATAGCAGGGAATTCAAGGTTTTCAAGGGTCAAAAAATAAAATTCCACTGAGTAAATTTTAGAGATTTTATTGGCTTTATTCAACAATTCCTGAATCGGGCAGCATCCCATCTAGCAGATAGCAAGGAGCTCTGAGGAACTGTAGGAAATGAAAGGTTTTTATAGGCAGAAGAGAGTGGGGACAAGGAAGTTACACTAGCAAAAAGAAGATTGGTTGAGGCAAGGTGACCTTCCCTTAGGGTACAACAGGGGTCTATTTGGCAGATGTCCTCACTAGTGCTGACCAGTTGATTCCTGATTGACTGGTTTAAGATTCGATTTCTGGGAGAGACCAAAACTGTAATGAAGTCTCAGTTTGGTGACATGGGGTTTAGCATAAGTGACTCCATTTTGGGCCTGTTGTCTTGTTTTTAACACAAGTGATAAGATCATTAAAAAAATGAGGTAGAATGGAAAATGTTTAAAGGTTCTATTATTTTGGTGGTTGAAGTTACAAAGTTAAGGTGTTTTCAGGCCAGATGTAGAACTCAGCTATGCTTCCAGTTGGCAATATATTGCAAATTGGTGTTCAAGTAAATTGGCTTTGGTTATACCCAAACACAGAACTTCTCAAAAGATCCAGTTTCTAGTTTCCCAAAGAAATACAAAGCAATTAACGTGCTTAATTTTTTTGTCTCAATATTGCCAAATGCTGGTAAGATGGTTTCCCATTTTCCTTACTGGGATGGCTAAATTTTTCTGTTTTAATTGAGGGCTTCTGCTTATCCTTGAGTAGAGAGTAATATTACCAAAAATGTCCTCAATTTTATTTTTTAAACAAATTTACAGTTTTGAGTGTCTAGTTCTCTTGTAGTTCCCAGTATAAGGTCATCCAGAGCAGCCTTTTAAGGTCACTCACAGTCTGTAACACAAGAGCGTGAGAAACCCTCTCCAGTTCATTGATTTCTTATTGCTATTGACATATAATCCTGCTATTCTAGAAATTACATGGCGTCAGGTAAAGTGGAGACATTTCTATTCAGACAAGCTCTGAAAGGATGAAAGGAAAAGGTTTCCTTAAATGTGAACAGAGAAACAATGGATGGCAAACAATTTCCCCTAAATTATAAAGCAATTAAATTTCCTATTTCAAAACAAAGTGCAATAGGACATGTTTTCTTTTCTATTGCATTTCTAATAAAATCCTATGTGAGAAGAGACAAAGCAATAGAAATTATTTTCTGGAAACACCAGATGTGAATGCACCTGTCTGATGACTGTTCAAAGGTCTAATCTTGTAGTTAGGTAAATATCTTAATTAAATCACATGCTGTTTTGCATCATTAGAATAGGCCAAAAGCTGGAACTCTATTCAGAAATTTGAGCCTGAATTGGTTTGTATACTGTTTGCTCATATACATTTAGGCATCTACAAAGAAGAACCACTATGCCATTTTTGCAAAGCTAGATTCCACCTTTGCTGCTTGTCAACACTGAGAGATCTTGGGCCTCAATTCCCGCATTTGGGATAATAATGTCTACTTAATAGATTGGTTGTGAGTATGAATGACATGCTGCCTGTGAAGTGCCTGACACATAGGGAGCCCTCAGTGGATGTCAGCTGTGGCCTATTTCTCTTCCATTCTGTTATAATATTGAAGTAATCTCCCTTAAACGTTATTATCATCTTATCTATTGGCTGAAGTGCCTACAGCAATTTTTTTTTTACTTGTATTAATTGACTTATTCAACCATTCATTCAAAAATATTAATTTAATATTGTGTTCATATAGAAATGAACAAAAACATAATCCTTGCTTCCAAGAAGTTCACAGTCTAATGAGCCAAATTAACTATGGAATTTAAAGTTATCTTTTAACTAAGTTGCAAATATCTGTTTCCCATTTCAAGTCCATCATCTCCCCTCTTTTAGGGACATAGTCTCTTTACCAGGGGGTTCTCAACATTGGCTGAACACCAGAACCACGTGGGGAATTTTCTTAAAAATATGAATGCCTGGGCCCTCCGTAGATCAATGAAGTCAGAATCTCTGGGTGTGGGTGTGTTTAAAAAGCTTCCAGGTACAATGAGAGTTGGGACTCATTGGGCAGAGTCAAGCCAAACTCAACCCCTGGCTTTATTCTGTGTGTCACTGTTTGTTCCCATTCCACTGAGTATGCCATTCTTTTCTCTTTTCTCCATCAAGGTCCCTTATTACCTTCAGAATGTCGTTTCAAATACGTCTTTCCAGCGAATGTTCTATGATTCACACCCTACATTATGTTCCCTGTTCTGTTTGGTGCCCTCTTTACTCCTATGGATTATTTTTCGATTTGGATTTATTGACAAGTGAAATTTACAAAAGTTTTCTTTAACTATTTCTTTTGTGTGTTTGTTTCTCAAATCATCATGGAAGCTGCTTGTGGACCAGATCGGATGTCCTATTTTTTGTGCACTGTTTCACAGTGACTTTACATTGCCGCTGGCTGAAGTGGGCACCCAACAAATGGTCGTGGCCCACTGACTCGCTTCCGGTGAGCTGCCTTCTTCTTCCAGACTGTTTTGGTGTTAGCAGCTGTAGGATCTCAACATGAATTATTAAACCTTTAACTTGACTTTCTAACCCAAAATTTTAATCTCTTTCATCAGTCAGTTCCCTAGAATTTAATCTTCCTTCCTTCCTTCCCACTAGTCCAAATAAAATATTTTAAAATTTCTTGTCTTTAGGCAGTTTTTAGGAGGGTAACTGCATTAATTAAATCCAGATATTATAAAAGCCATAGCACCATACCATACTCTGCTAAGCTTCTTGAAGGTAGGGCCCATGCCATATTTATCTTTGTGTCCCGGACATGTGGACAATACCACATGTGGCATACAACAGATTCTCAATAAAGATTTGTTGAATTAATTGAATTAGTCCTTTGGTTAAATTAAGGTTCATTAGCAGAGCCATTCTGAATGCATCTATTTTGCAGATTATTTGGAAAATCAGATGTATTTCTAATAGCAATTTTTCTCTGCATTTATCTTATTACTCATAAGTTATGGGAATCTAACTTTCCTGTGTTATATCATTGTACCTCCCTTAGCTTTTCAGTTCACCAACATTCTTTTAGATTTCGTGTTGGCTCATGTTGATCATTGACCTGTCTGGCTGCCTGTGGATCTATGAATATCTAACACCAGACTTAGACAGGGCCTTTCTGAGTTATTTCATTCAATGCACTGAATTTTATTTCCTGAATCTCTTTAGAGAAAACATGGAAAATATTCAAAGTAAAATAATGTAAGTGTCAGTTAATTTGTTTCACTCAAAGACAATCTCTGGGAATTTTTTGGTGTATTTCCTGCCAATCTTTTTCTTCTATGCATTTTTAAAGCATGATTGTGATCTAAAATCAAATTGTTTATTCAGTTTTGTACTTTGGTTTATTCCTTTAATATTGTAAACTAAGTGTTTTCCAAGAGTTTACAAACCCTTTGTTAAGTTCTTCTTAATGGATCTATGGTATACTAATATATAAATGTGCAATAATTTTAGTAAACTATTGTCTTATTGTTGCACTTTTGGATTGTACTGTGTCTTTTATTACCATAAACAATCCTGTAATGATCATCTTCATGCATACAGGTTTTTTTATCTATATAGGGTGATGTCCCAGAAGCTCTGTCCAAGAGTGTGAACATTTTCAAGTTCTTCATACAGGTGAATAAATTACTTCCCAGAGGATTGTAGTCCTTCACAGCCCTGCCACCAGGAGGGCATCAGTAAGTACTACCCCTTTCAATAAATGCTTGTCAAATTTCAGGACTTATTTTTAACATAAAAGGGACAATTTTCATTTTATCTAAGATCCTCCTAGAGGGTCCCATTGTGCATATGTCTTCAAGCTTTTACTCCATTCACTTTGGCATATTGCCAGACCAACTTGTGCATCTTCCCACACCAATACTGCTCTGATGCAGGTGTTGATATGAAGGAAGGGGTTAGCCGGCTTGGTTTGAATGCCCTGCTGTGGGTGTGCTGATAGAGGCAGGTTGGAGTGTACAGCTCTGGGTATACTGCTAGAGGCTGGTTGGAGTGTGCTGCTATAGATGTCCTAATAGAGATGCTTGAGTCACCATGTCTCATGTGTGTCAGTATATGTTCTTAGAGGGTGAGAATATCCCCAAAGAGAAATTGGAGCTTAATTCTCTAGCTAGAATTCCTTATATAGGAGTTTAGGTATCTAAGCTCGAGGAAGCCATAAAGTCACAGGGCATCTACAGACTTCTACAAATGGAGTTTCCTTCTGAGAAAGGGGAACCATGGGCTCTTTGGATGGCTTCAGTTGACTCCGTGTCTTCAGGCCACTTCCAAATTCCGTGCTGTTTAATTTTCTGAGTCCATTTTCACACCTAAAGAGAGAAGAAATGTGGTTTTTATTTTGGCGAGTGGATTGCTGCTATATCGTGAGAAGGAAATTTTATTTAGAGCCATGGTCAAGTTGGCTGGAACACTAGTTTTTAATGTATCGTGAAAGAAGACCAAGTATCCATTAAAGTAGTTGTAGGTGGAGAGAAAGAGGGTATTATGCAAAAATGTGAAATATTCATCTAAGGCACCAATCGCAAGTTCCATCTGCTCTGAAGCCTTTCTGACAGCTCAAATTCCCGTTTGTTCTGTAGCACTTGGATCCTCCCCTACCGCGTAACGATAACACTGTAGTAGAGGTTCTTGTTTACATGACTGTTCCCCACCAAATTCTGGTCGTGTAGAAGACAAAAGTAATATTTTACATCTTGTATCTCTAGTACCCACCAGAGTCTGACATCGAGTAGGCGACTGATCATTGATTATTATATGATGGAAAGATGGAGATGTAAGAGAAATGGAAAATATTCTTAATGGATGTATCCTAAACAGCATGTATCCTAAATTAGCCTTTTTAGTCAAAATAGATGATACAGAAACTTGCTCCTCCTTTATAGATGAGGAAGTGGGTCATAGAAAGGTTAAGCGACTTCCTCAAGTGACACAGCTGACTAAGGCACATAGCCAGGTTGAACATGCAGGTGTCCAAATTCTCAGTTCCATGTTCTATCCAATCTACCTCAATATAATTCACTTTAGGACAATGGATGAAAATAAGTTATTTTCTGATGATATGGAGAAAACACTCAGCAAAATAAACTTCCTTAATGTTATGGGGCATGCTGATTCCTTCCAGCATATTTTAGAGTAATGGAAAGGGAGAAATGCCTTTATACTCAACATAAGATTCATGGTGTTATGGGATTTCACAAAGAAGATTGAAGGACTGACTCTTCTCAGAAGACTTTATAAAAAAGGCAATGTTTTAGTGTTAATGTCATATGATAATGACTTTTATTAAGTGCCATATTTGGGCAAATGTCACACCCATATTTATACTTCATAATTTTTTGTGAGTTAGTTAGATGAATAAACTCATATAATATAAATAAAACTGTGTTTGACCCTAGTGTCAGTATTCTTGTTCTTCTTCTTTTTCTTAACATAACATCCTTTAACCAGATTTTTCTTTTCTGTCCTGAGATATTCGGAGGAAACATCTGAAATGCTTACTCTGGTAGCTGGAAGAACCAATTGACAATTTAAAAGAAGTTGTTCTAACTGAGTAAAGGGAGGTTCAAGTGGAGAGAGTTGGCCTTATAGAAACCAATCGGTTTGTAGTCTTGACAGGTTGTTATATCAGTCTTTGATAATTAGGATTCCACTGGGTCTTAAAGGGGCAGGATCCATTGAGTAAACCACTCATTTCATTTCAGAAGCAGACATTGGAAGAAGCCAGTGGAGGACGGTCACAAGAGAACCAGGCAGGGCTCCAGGTTTCTCAGCAACTCAAAGGCAACAGGTAGATGCCATAGAAGCAAAAGAGGCAAAAACAAAGATGAAAAATAAGCTATTTATCTTCTGATAAAGTAATGTCTAAAAGTAGTAATGGAAAAGGACAAAAGGAAAGAGCATGGGGATTGTGAGGGAGCACAGGCCCACAAAATGAACTTAGTGGTCCACATGGGCTTAATCTAGTCTGTCTTCCATGTTCCCATATAGATAGCTTCCATGTCTCTCAGTTTCCCATTAGTAAAAAGAAGGTGAATGACAAAAGAACGTTCCTTCGTCTTTCGGAATAAGATAAGATAATGTATCATTAGCAAAAATTTCCTTTAATCTAACCATCAATCTACTTCTATCTTATGGTTTTAATTAGCATTATTTTCTTTGATTATTTTTAATTACCCTTCCAGCCCCTGAGTACTTTGGCAGGAATGTGGTGGAGAAAGTTACTATAAACCAAATTATGAATTTTATTGCTCTAATTGGAATTGAAACCCATGACATCAATTAAATCCTCATTTATTATTCCCTTGGTTCGTGTGATCATCATTCTAGGTATGTATAAAATCTCAATGTGGCACAATTATGTAACTCCTTAAGCAATGTAGCCCCAGTGCATTAGTAACACCCTGGCTAGGAGAGGCAGAAGTCTAAAACCTTATTGGGAACAACTCCCCAAACATTGTGAAAGCCTAAACTGTGTCTTTCCTTCTGGTTTCTCCCCATGACATAGCTCAGGCCAAAGAACACAGAAGGAGTTAGTAAATGGTTCCTGTGGAGGCACTGATGCTTGATCTGCCTTGTTACCTCCATGTTCAATTGCTGATGATCTTTCACAACCTGACAAGTAGATTCAAGTCTATATTCAAACTTCAAATAACGTTGAAGTCACAAAGTCTTCTGCAGGAATGAGAGTTCCAAGATGCATTAGGACACTTAGTCCTAGCTGCCATAACAAATGATACCTTGAAATCTCAGGGGCTTACCAAATAAATGTTTATTTCTTGATTATTTCTCAGTCCATCTTTCAGCTACAGAGCCTGGAGCATGTGGCCTCTGTGGTTATTGTATGCGGGAAAAGAGAGATGGCAGAGGTATACTGGCTGGCAACTGTGTTGGCTTGGAAGTGGCATGCATTTCCATTCAGAGTCCCTTGGCTAGAATTAGTCATGTGACTCCAAAAGTACTTGCAATCGAGGCTGTGAAATATAGGGGAGCTCATGGAATATTTGATGAGTGCTAACTATCTTTGGCACATTAGGATTTCTCTAGAGACCTGGGGATTCCACTGCAGCTTTAGGTACTGAGCTATAAGTGCCAAATAAGGTAAGCATACAGATGAGCCAGCCTGCTAGCCCTCTAGGAAATTATTTTATTAAGATAAATTAAACATACAAGGCAATTAAAAAAAATCAAGTTGCCCTTTTGCCATGTCATGGTTCTCCAGAATTTTTAACTGGACTCTTCCATGGCAGCCCAACTGAAAAAAACTATACAAGCAAGTTCCATTGCAGATTTTAAGTGGCAAATATTCTTTTGTCATATGGTTCTCATCAAACCAGTAGAACACTTTGTTTTTAGTTTGGTATCAATATTACTCTGCCAGGGTTGCCACAACAAACTACCATAGACTGGAGGCTTAAACAACAAAAACTAATTTTCTTATAGTAATGGAAGCTGTGATGTCCAAAATCAAGGTGCTGGCTGACTTAGTTCCTGGTGGAGGAAGCCAGCCACCTTCTCACTGTGTCCACACACGCTAGAGAGAGTGAGCAAGCTCTCTGGTGTCTCTTCTTATAAGGATACTAATCCTATCAGATCAAGGCCCTACCTTTGTGACTTCATTTAACCTTACTTAATTCCATAAAGGTCCTATCTTCAAACACAGTCATGTTGAGGTTTAGGTATTCATCATATTGAGGGTTAGGTATTCATCATATCGAGGGGTAGGCATTCATCATATGCATTTTGGGGGTACATAAACATTCAGCCTATAACAGTGTCTAAGGATTCCACTTTGGTGGCCCGGGTTTGGTTCCTGGGTGCAGAACCACACCACTCGTCTGTCAGTAGCTATGCTGTGGCGGCTTACATAGAACTAGAAGGACTTACAACTACATACTGGGGCTTTTGGGAGGGAAAAAAAGAAAAAATGAGGAAGATTGGCAATAGATGTTAGCTCAGGGCAAATCTTTCCAAGCAGAAAAAAAAAAAAGATGAGTTCTTCTTGGCTGAAGGAAGAATAAGAACACAGGAGAAGCTACCAGAATATCTATCAAGCATCCTTCTTAAGCCAAAAGACAATGAAAGTTTCATGCTAAAGGTCAGTCTGGATTTTTGTTGTTGTTGTTCAGGACATTGAAATAGCTAAGGCTTAAGGACATTGGTTCAAGTTGTTGCTATTTTTTAAAGGTCCATCCATCGGTCAAGAGATTTGTGGGCTGAATTTTGTCTTTCTTTCTTAGTGGCTCCAGAAAGCTGGTTTCTTGAATGTTGCATGCAGTCACATTTCTGTACAGAATTCTATTTAGTTTGGATTATTCTTCTGTGTTTTTCGGTTCTAGGAATCCGAGAAGGGTCTCATATATGTCTGTGGAGTCAAAGTTGCACCCCTTAGAGGCCATGTTTTCATGCAAATAATGATCATTTGGAAATCTTCAAAGGAAATCTTCAGATAGTAGAGAAATTAATAGAGAAATGTTATGTTATTTAACTATTAGAACACATTACAATAAAACAATAGATGAAATTAGTTACAGTTCCATACAGAAGCTGGCACAGAACTAGGGAAATATTATTTGGTCATCTGAAGCATTTCCTTAGGTTGGAAAGGGCTGGTGAGCTGCCAGCTCCCATGTGTGTTTACTCTTAGCTTAGTCCTTTATCCAGTGTGAGGTCAACTCTTGTATAATAGTTCACTGTGATTTCAGCTTTCCCTTACATCATATACCACATCATCGTAATTGATGGAAGCCACCTTTTAAAACAGCAAATTATATGGCTGAAGGAACATCTTATCAAAACAAAGCCTTGTGCGCAGGCTGGCTAATAGATGGAAAGACTTTCATAAACTCCCAGACTTTGCTCTCTGTTGAGTTTCCACTCTCTCCTTATTGTGTTCAGGAGGCTGCTCCCCACAAATCGAGAGTCAGAAGCTGCTGTGCAGTTAGACGAGAGGTAGAATTGCTTTACCTTAGACACTTTTGCTTCCACAGGTCAAAGGACATTTAATGTTAATATTAAAGCACCAATTAGTGAATTGTTGTGAAGTTCTTTGAGAAGGAAGTGCTGTCATTTTATGAGTTAAGGAGTTACTATCTTTTTATCATTTATAAAACACCTTGAAGTGCAATTATGCTTGTTTTTGAAAAATATTTTGTTTGAACTCAACAGGATGTTGTGATGACCGTCTCAGTTAGGGAGTCTTCTGAGAGCTATAATTAGACTATTGAAACCGGAGGGGGATGGATAGAGCAGAGGCTTGGCTAGGGGCCAGGACTTGAGAAAAAGTGCCTGCAAGATTGGATCGGCAAGTAAGCAAATGCAATGGCCTTCTTTCTGTCACTGGCTCTAGATGGCAAGAATATGGCACAGAAAACAGAATTTTTTCACAAATCAGCTGACTCTATAACTGTGTCATAGGCACAGCTCTCTCTTGGCCTCAAGTATTATTAGCACAGTAAAGAAAGAATATAGGCTTTGGCTTCAGACGGTTCTGGTTGGAATCTTGACTTTGTTTCTTAGGAGCTATTCCACCTTGGACGAATCACCTAACCTCATTGATCTCAGTTTCTAATCCATGAAATGGGAAAAATAATACTTTGTGTTGTTGTATTAGACATAATCTGTGGCGAGTACTAACTCCTGGGCCCAATTCATTATGGGTGCTCAGTAAATATTAGAGATAATTGTGATCATTATTATGAATCACAACAGGAGAAAGAGATGAAGAAGTTAAGCCCAATCAACAGTGACCATGACTTGGAGTTGGACCTTGCCCTGTAATGGTTTAATCAGGTAAAACCACTGACTCAGGTTAATTGGTTACCCCCTTAAGAAAACCACTATTAGTGTTTCAGAGAGGTCTCCTGTAGGCACTGCAACAACTTAACCTGACAATGGCTTCAGTAAGACTTTCAAGCCCAGAGTCAGGCTGGTAGAGAAGAGATTTAGGGAGCAGGATTGACTTTTGACTTTTAGATCACATTTTATGGGGACAGTTTACATTTCAAACACACCGACGTTTTCCATTATTCAGAGTTTAAAGTTCGGTGTCTGATGTGGTGATTAATGCAGTACACAGGAAATGGCATGATGCATTTATAGTGTATTTGTAAATCAATACAAAGCATCACAGTATTAGTCCTTTGTTGACATATATAATGGACTTTTCCACTACTTTTATGGCACCTCATTGTTTCTGGACTTATGTTATGACTGTTCCCGAAAGAATGAAAAGATATGTATGTTGATATGAATATTTTACACACAATTTAACTTCCCTGCTGATCATACTTTTTTTATTACTGAAATATATATATTTATTCTAAAAAGATCACAACAATTCACAATTCAGAGGTATATAGAATATAAATCAAATATCCTTTACCCCAAAGAATTCGTGCCATTTTAACTTTGAAAATTTTATGAAAAAATGTTAAATCAACATTTCACTTTTTCTTGACATTTGGAAGATGATGCGTATCCTAGTGGGATTCTGGTGAAGGTTTGCAAACTCTAAGCATTTAGAATGAGCACGCTGTAATCTCTTATATCCATGGATTCTTAAGAGGATGACTCTTTGGCATAGGGTCGCAAGACAAGAACACAGGCTTCTGGCCTGAAAATCTCCACATGAGTGTCAGGGATTTATCACACAGGAATGCATGGCAGAGGCATTTAAAATTTCCCTGTAGGAATAACCAACCAATAAAGAATATTCCTATAGACTAAGTCTGTGGCCACAGCATAATGCATTTCGTTGTTGGGTGCAGTGCACTGAGAGGGGCTTATGGTTTCAATGCTCTTTAAAGTCAAACGGATGACAGGCTTTCAAAGTGGAGTTTCTCTCTGAGGTTCCATTTCTAGACTCCTCAGTGTGGAAAAGTAGCAAGTCTTGTGGGAAACAGCATCAATCATTGCTGAAGGCCTCTGCTGAAATTATTTTTGCCTAAAAGCCTTTAGGAAAAACTTATTAGAGTTCTTAGCCCCTGGCCAGCAGGAGCATACAATTTATGGCTGTATGGATGGCAATAGATATTAAGGACATGCGTATAGTTGAGAAAGTGTTAAACGAATTTACGGATATGCCATAGTATACATGAAGGAGTAAGTGTATGCTGGAGGGTGGAATAACTATGGTAGTTTAGGAACTTCATGTAAAACTTATAAAAATTTGTTATCCATTCCTTCTTTGTTCAAAGAAAGGATTAGGTCGGCTTTTAGGGATGTGCTTCAGTTATCTATTGCAGTATAACAAACCTCTCCGAAATTTAGTGGCTTAAAATAATAACAACCATCTATGCACAGAGCTGAGGCGGGTGGTTCTTCTGTTGGTCTTGTCTGGGGCTGTTCATGCAGCTGCAGTTACCCGAGGTTTCTAGGGCTGGACGTCTAAAATGGCTTTACTCACAGCTGGCACCTCAGCTGAGCTGCCGGAAGAAAGGGTGGCTGGCTGAGAATCAATCTCTTTCTCTCTCTCTCCAGGTAGTCTCTGCAGCAGAGTAGCTGGACCTCTTTACTTAACCAAGTGGCTTAGGGCTCCAAAGAGGGTGAAAGCAGAAGCTTCTAGACCTCGTAAGGGCTAGGTTACAATGGGCAAAGTGTTACTTTCACCATATTCTCTTGATTAGAAAAGGCACAAGGCCAGCTGAGATTCCTTGTCAGAGGAAAACAGACTAATTTCTTGATGAGAGGAACAGCAAAGAATTTGGGTCATCTTCAATTTGTTACAGGATATATAATATACAGCAAGACATGCACTAATAACCTGTAAATATTGCTATTAATCTTTCCAGTGGAAGGGCAACACTAGCAGATGTGACATGTTTACACTCAGGGGCCCTAAAAGATTAAATTGCCAACTAGCTCCGCCCAAGGTTTCAAATTTTTCTGATCAGAGTTCTTCATAAGAATTTGAAGGTCACCTAGCCTAATCAAATGTCTTTTGACAAAAACAAGCATTTAAACAAGATTAGAGACATTAATGTGCAGCACATGGGCCAGCTAATTTGTTCCTATGACTAATTCACTGTGATTTTAGCTGAGGACAGGATCTAGGGAAATAGAACACAGGACAGATACTTTTTACATGAAAGGGAAAGGTAGGAAAATACTCAGAGCGTGGGGTTTACACCCAGGTCCTAGGAATGGAGATGTATGTGATGGTCATGGGAAACACAAAAACACTTAGAATTGAGATGGGATCTGAAAATCTGTAAGATGTATTTTACCAAGTTTACAATTTTTCCCGAGGGACGATCTTTAGAAGTGATTTACTACAACTCTCTTCCCATCAGTCAGAGAGAAGACTTCTTGGAAGAGGTGTTTCAGCATCATTGGAAATGAGAAGCAGCTTTCTTATGAACTGCTCAGTTAGTATAGGGCAATGGTTACTTTTCCTCCCAGAGACTGTCTTTTTCATGTCCTTGTATAAGCTCAAGGTTTACCAAAAGATAGATACGTGGCTGATTCTCACCTTTGTCTTTCTGTAATTCCTCTTTCTTGTCTTCCCAGAGGAGGAGGGTGCTCATTGAGTGATCTGAGATTGTGTGGCTCACTGGCCTCACCTGTTACTTCTGGAATGTATGTTTTTGGTGTAGGTCAGCATTCTAGAATGTGTGTTTATCATAACAGAGCCTAGCAAAGCCCAGCCTGCTGGCCTACAGCCCCCCAGGCTTGTTGAAACACATTTCCTATTTCACTTTGCCTTCGTTGTCCTTGCAAGCTGGGCTCAACAGCTTTGGTCTTCTCATTTTCTGAAAATATGGGAATGCTTTGAGGTATCAGCATGCCTCAACATGTTCTCAAGAAGCTTCAAGAGGAGCCAAGGTCACTGTGAAGACAATATATTTCAGCTGGAGAAGGAAAACTCTGTAAAAGAGAAAATACGTGGCAAGGGATTTCCCTCTGAAAGTGATAAGCAAGGAATTCCCTCCATCCTCCACCCCTGCCCCTGAAGTGGCTGATGGCATTGCTATTTCTTCTTCCCACAGTTGCTGGCCTGTCTCCCTGTTGACCAGCTCAGCATCCATAGCAGGAGCTCTGTCTGCAGTTTCTAAATGGGATAGAGCGAGTTTTTGACAAATTTGCTAGGTTCTTTTTATTTTTTAAAGATTGGCACCTGAGCTAACGTCTGTTGCCAATCTTCTTTTTTTTTTTCTTCTTCTTCTTCTTCTCCCCAAAGCCCCCCAGTACATAGTTGTATATTCTAGTTGTAGGTCCTTCTGGCTCTGCTTTGTGGGATGCTGCCTCAGCATGGCCTGATGAGCTGTGTCATGTCCATGCCCAGGATCCGAACCTACGAAGCCCTGGGCCATCAAAGCAGAGCACGCGAACTTAATCACTCGACCACGGGGCCAGCCCCGCTAGGTTCTGTTTAGACCTGAGTAATTTTTTTTACAGCCATCCCTGAACTTATTTGGAGAGAATTTGTGAATATAGTGAGTGCATTAAAAAAACCTGATTCAATTAAATATCTTTTTTCTTAGTTACAGAATAATTTCAAACGATCCTGGAGTACTTAAAATGTCTTAGTATTTTGGGGCAAAATACTCAGGTCCTAGCCGGTTTCTCAATTTATGGAACTTGGAGCTAATTCTCAACCCTAGGTTCTGCTTCAGTTAGTGCCCTTACTATTGAGTTAGCTAAAATATTAACTATTTAACAAGTTGAAAAGACAAATTTCCTGGTCTCACATGTTATATTTGCAAAAACTTTAGGTTTCTATTTCGATAAGGCTTCATCAGAACTATTGCTCCAGTTCTATGTACTTCATTTGTGGGGTCCCTGATTGACCTTCCTAGGAAAGCTGGCTACTGTAAATGTGTGTCTCTACTGGGGTGTCATTTTTCTTTTCAAACTTCACTAAAGCAAAACAGGGGTAAATCAATTGACTCACAGTTTTGGCTTCTCATTGGTTCCACTGATCTGATGAAATGGCTTTTTAACCCATTTAGTGCTAGCAGAAAGGACACCCCTGGCTAGAAATGTTCCCAACTGTTTGCAGTATCTGTAAATTGCCTTTTTTCCTTCATTCACCCTCCCTTTTCCTATCTGTTCCCTGGAGGGCAGGTTTCCTCAGAGATCTTCTAATCTGGTCAATACCAGAAGATCCAGGTGGTCATGAGAAAAAGCGGTGTCTTAGGGTTCCAAGCCTGAGAGAAATGTCAGTGACTCTAAAACAATTTAGCCAAAGGGCCAAAACTCATCTACCAAGGCCTCTGCTTTTCAGATTCCATGGGGACCTGTACTGGCATGGGCCTGCCACGACTGTTTTCTGATGTTGGAAATTATGTATCCTTAAACGATATATTAGAACAAAACATCCCTCTCAAGTGCTGAATTTATTATTTGAAAAAAAACCCCACCAAACCAACAAACACAAAAAACTCAACTCCTCATCCCCATTATTAGAAATCTGAAACTCTATGTCTTCATTTGCTAATTTCAAATAATTGAGTTCCTTGAAGATCTGATTGTGTAAGGAAAAGAAGGTGGATCAAATAGCACTCTATTTGAATCCCAGCTCTGCCTTTTACTGACTCTGTGACCTCAGGTAGGTTACTTAACCTGTCGTGGTCTCAGTTTGGTTTTCTGTTAAATGGGAATGTATATATGTGTGTGTGTGTGTGTGTGTGTGTGTGTGTATTTTTTTTGCTGAGGAAGATTTGCCCTGAAATAACATCTGTTGCCAATCTTCCTCCTTTTTTGCTTGCGGAAGATTAGTTCTGAGCTAACATGTGTACCAATATTCCTCTATTTTGTAGGTGGGTCACCTCTACAGAATGGCTGATGAGTGGGGTAGGTCTGTGCTGGGGATCCAAACCCATAAACCTATGCCACTGAAGCGGCGGATGCTGAATTTAGCCACTATGCCACAGGGCTGGCAAATGGGAATATATATTAACAAATACCTTGCATGGTTCTTATAAGGATTAAAGTGGTCTAACATAGTGCTTGACATGCTATATATACTCCACAGATTCTCCTCTATGCTCTGGTCAGTTTTCAAGAGTGATATATTCCTTTAGAAAAAAGTCATTGTGATTTTATTGAATAGAATTATAGAATCCGAAGGTTAGAAAGAAGCTTATAGATCACTGAATGCAGATTTCCAAAGCTATCTGTATGTGAACATTACCTGAAAAGCTTTAAAATATGCAAATTTCCAAACTCCAAAGCCAAAAGACAATGACTCAGTGGGTTTGGGGTGGTGAACAGGAGGTCTGATCTTTCAAAAGTTCCATTGATAACGGTGGATACATGTCAAAACCCATAGAATGTACAGCACCAAGAGTAAACCCTAAGGTAAACTATGGACTTCAGGTGATAATGATGTGTTAATGCAGGTTCATCTATTGTAACAAATGTACGACTGGAGTAAGATGTTGATAGTGGGAGAGGCTATGTGTACGTGGGGCCAGGGAGTATATGGATATTCTCTGTTTTGCTGTGAACCTAAGGCTGCTCTACAAAACAAAGTCTATTTTTTTATAATTATTTTAGAGGTCATATTGGTTTCTAACATTGTGTAATTTCAGGTGTACATTATTATATATCAGTTTCTGCATAGACTGCATTGTGCTCACCACCAGTAGTCTGGTTTTTACCCATCACCATATATATGTGTCCCTTTGCCCCTTTCGCCCACCCAATAAAGTCTATTTTTAAGAAAAGTTCCATTGAGGATTCAGATGAGCATTCAGGTTTGGGAGCCCTTATCTCTGTCGTTCACCATCCAGAGCAGAGGCACCTGCAGCTGCAGCACTCTTCTGAGTCATCACTCCCTTCCTGTGTCACTGTTGTCACAAAGCCAGTTCCATTGTTGGGCAGCGCCAGGATTCAAAAATTCTTCCTTATATGGAATTGACATCAGCCTCATTGTAACTTTCACTCATCGTCCATAATTCCTCCCATTGGAGCTACATGGAATAAATCTAATGTTTTCCACACGAGCTGGTTCATGTATTTGAAGGCAGTGCTCATGATCCTCCTACTACTACCCCACCTCAAGTCTTCTCCTTTCAAGGCTAACCCTCAATGGTTCTTTCTTTGATATAATTTCCAGGAAATTACCACTCTTGGTTAGTAGTTTTTCTTGGTATTTCCATTTTGAAAATGTTAACAGCACATCTGGCACAGGTAGCACCCCATCAAAATGGAGACCCTAGCTGTGCCTGGTGTTAACTCTTTGGTTGCTGGGGAGAGGATGAGGTCACAAGGAAGGGACCGAAATGGCAGGAGGCTTTAAATAGCAGCTGTTTGCCAACTAGTACTAAAGAATTGCAGTAGTTTAACAATCTGGTTATACTGGTGCATACTTGTGAATATCAGCATAGTCAACCTCCCTCGTAGAACATAACTCCAGTTTAGAACATGATGCTCTGGAGGGAGTCTGAGGTACAGAGTAGGGTAGGACTGTGTCAGCTTGCAGACATCTGCATCACCCAGTAGGCTGGGTGTCTGGTGGTAAAACAGATCCAGGGAATATTTTCAACAGGAGGACTCTGACATCATTTTTTATTGCACCTATTTATTGCAATTTTGCATTTAACTTTTGAATCTGAATGCAGGTTCATTTATCACGAGACTTATGGTTCATTTTTTTGCTGCCCATTTAGACTCTCGGGTTGGTTGGGCAGCATGTGCTCCTGTCTCCTGACTTCATCCTGTTTGCTGTTGATGGCTTTTGATATTGCTACTGATAACAAGGTTGTAAGAGGTAGGGCTGAAGAGGCAATCCAGCCGCACACCACTAGAAACTTCTCTGCAGCAAGTCTTCAGTCCAATCATTCTGACCTGGCTGTACCCGGAAATCACTGGGAGAATTTAAAAAATAAAGATACCTGGACTCCACCCTAGACCTCTTGAATCATCATCTCCAGGGTGTCAAATTTACAAAGCTCCCCAAGTAATTATGAACATGGTCATGTTTAGGGACTTCTACTTTAATGTATACTTACTGGGTATTATTTTAAAACTTTATGAATGTACTTACTGCACGGATTTTTACTCCTTTTCATTAAATTTTATCAAACCTAATACCTTTAAAATCATCTTTATGCACTATTTCAAAAATAATATTAGTTAATATACTTTCTAACTTAGAGTCATCACTTTCCCCTGAGGGGAATTTTTCAAATGAGAAAATGGAAGCAGTTAAGTGACTTGTTTTAGTTCATTTTAGGATGTTCTAGAATTTTTTTTTCTCTTCAACCTCTGTGTTCAACCAATTTATTTTAATTTGGGTTTTTCTGAGTCCACAGCCTTCTTTGAAAATTTCACCAATGTGATTCCAAAAACACTGTCTTCATCATGCATTGTCTTTCATTGCCCTAACTGAATGGAGTAGGCTGATGACATATTGATTTGTTTATTTTGTGTAGTTAGCAAACACTTAGAACTTACCATGTGATGGGCACTCCTCTAAGAGGTTTACACATTCTAACTCATTTCATATTCCTAAAAAATCTAAGAGGTAGCACTATTATCTTTATTTCTCAGATGAGGAAACTGAGGCAGAAAGAGCTTAAGTAACTTGCTGAAGGTCCCATATCTAGAGCGAATGGATCTGGTTCCAGAATCCATGCTTTTAGCCACTAGCAAACACAAAAAATGATAACAGTAAGTGTAAAGAGG